TAGGCAAGCTTCCGATGCGCTCAGTTTTCCAACCTGCGCGTTGGTCACCTGCAAGTACAAATATGTCGGTGCTTTGACTCATCCGAATGAGATCGGTGAGTTCATCGTAGAAGGCATCCTGTTGGGTATCAGAACTGCAACTGGTTGGCGCATATGCTGATACGATGAACAAACACCTTTTGGTGTTGCTTCCCTTTAGGACGCTGATTGAACCCTGAATCTGCAATTCGTTTCCAGATACATTACTTACAGCGCCATTTGGCAAATACCTTTGGCGAGCGACATCCAAGTTACTTGAGGGACTATTACAGATCGGAAGAAGGGGAAAATGGAGAGGGCTGGGTACTGAATACAAAGAATTAAACAAAGGTTGGGATATCTGAGCAGTAGCCCACTTATCACTACTCACCCGCTCGATTCAACGGGCAGCGCGGTCCTGATTATCCTGGGCGACGACCGATGCAGTATGAAATTACTTTTTATTTTGTGTATGCATTGGGGTTTGATGGACGGGTACTGCTAGGGTCTACAGCCATTAAGCCCCCCTTCCCTCGAATGTCTTCTCGGGCCAATTTACAAGGTGTGTGAGTGAGGGAGAAGGTACTACGAGGCACCACCTCGTTGTCCAATCCATCTGTTTACCCGAGTTCTGTTCAAATAAGTCCACAGGTCCTGATGTCAATGTAGATGTGCTTCAGCTTACCGGACTGGCGATTCAATAAGTTTGGACATCTCTTGAAAGTAAGCCATGATGAATTCCTGTAGCCGGCATCCAGTTTTTGTGTGAGATTCTTGGAGACGTTTTGTACATTTTAACCTGCAATGCAATTTCTCCTCATATTTGGTTAACCGCAGTGCAATGATTGTGGATCCCTGATGAACTGGATAAGACATGTGTACTTTGGCGAACATTCATGCATTTAATATATTGGTGAAACAGTTTTAAGGTGAAAAGAAACCCATAAACATACAGGGTTAATATTCGGAAAGAGGAGTTAATTAAGGATTGTCAAAAGGGATATGCACCATTTTACCGCTAGCATTCGAACTGGTCAGATGAGACGGTGTACCGAGCGACAGAAAGAGAGGTTAGCTTGGATTTCTTGGCTGGCATATGTGAAAACCTCCGATAAGATTATTATCAACCTGATTGTTATTTAGCAGTGGGAATGAAAAAAAACGCACTGTGCTCTGAAACAGGGTTGCCCCGAAGTGTGGTCAACCTCTAGTCAATCATGACTTAAAAAGCTCGGCGTTCCCCTAAATGTAATTCTTAAATTTATGCATTCTTCTACGTTGGTTGTACTGTTCCCATGTATATTTTCCTGGTCTGAAGGAGAAAGACTTTATTCTCTTTTCCAGCTCTCCTGAACTTCTTTTTCGTTGCAATGGCACTTCAGAGACCGTTTTGGTTGACTTTATGGTCAGCAAGCATTCTGACGCATGTGACAGATTTATCAGCCATATACTGCCAAATGAGGAACACTGCCTGCCTACCCATCTCGATAAATTGGTGTCTCATCCGAGTACGCTTCCCAAAATAAGGGTTCTTTGTGCACGCACCACTACTTACAAAAATAGCATCATCCCTTATTTTGCTCGTATCTTGTTCAACCGAGCAAATACTGTAAACTGACTTGAATAATCATGTGTCACATTAAGATCTTATCACATCCATTTGTTTTTCATTTAGTAAATGTTAGCTCTTCTTTTCCCCTGACTGACTTTGTCAAAAATGCTAAAAATTCATCCTGTTGGGTGCATAAAAGCTTGACTTGACTTGGCCGGGATCGCGGAACTCACCCGGGTGATCAGAGGCAGTCCGACGAGCATCAGTACCGCGACAAGGATGCCCATTGTGGTCCGGTACACGCATCGTTGACGTTTTGCCCGCGCTTCCAGTGGTGGAGCAATGAAATCTGTCAGATTTCTTACACTGGTGAGGAGAAGGAGGCTCTGCGGATTCGGGAAAGGAGAAATTCATAGGGGGAAGAGTCAATTTTAATGTGTTTTTATGCAAGAACTTAAGTGTGTGTGTGTGAGAG